GGGGGGGGGGGAGCGGGGGCTAGGAGGGGCGGCCGTGACAGGCCGCGTCCCGCCGGCCCCGCGCCGCTGAGGCCAGGCGGTGGGGGCCGAACCGGCCCCGGCCTGCAGGGTAGGAGGGGACCGGGCAGGCGCCGCCCGGGACACGGAGGAAGAGGGGGGAGACACACACGCTCCCCGCCGCGGAGGGGCTTGTACCTTCTTCAGCTCCAGGTCTACGGGCGCCGCCATCTTGTCTCCACAGGGCGCCTGCGCGGTGGGGGAGCGCCGGCACGGCGTCCTGCTGCGCATGCGCGGGGGAGGGGTGCGGGTCCCTTCAGTGCGGCGTGCGGCGCCGTGGGTTCGGGGGGGCCCGGCGGGGCCGTGGCCGTGCCCCGGGGTCTGCTCGCACGGTGGGGACGTCCGGCTGGGCTGGGGGTCCCCTCATGGGGCGGGGGCACCTGGTTGGGGGGTGGGGTATGAGGCCTCCGCCTCGGGCCGGTCCCGCGTGGGGGTCCCTGGCCCGGCCGCCTCAGCAGGAGGCGGGGGCCGCGCTGGGGGGCCGGACGCGGCCCCTGTTCGGGGGACGGCGCCGAGGGCGAAGCCAGGGGAGAGCCCAGCGGGCCTGGCCGTGCCCTGTGGGCCCGGGGGCTGCTTAGTTCCCCGGGGCAGCCCGGAGGTGCCCCCGGAGCCCGGCGGTACCCGGCCGTGGCGGGGGGGACGCGCCCGCTCCGCTGCCCGCTCCGCTGCCCGCTCCTCGCGATGGCTGCCACAGCCCGGCCCCCCCCCGGCCAAGCTGGCGGAGCCCTGCCAGGGCTTGGGAGTCCAGCAGCCACCCCGGCCACCTCCCTGCCACCCACCAGCACCGACACGGGGGCCCAGCCGGCCCCGGGAGAGTGTCCCAGGGTCCCCAGAGCGGGAGCACCAGGGACAGACCAGAAAGCAGTAACGGGTGTTAACAACCAGGGACAGACAGGCAGCAAGCGGGCTCGGCACCGTGGCGGTCAGGAAACGCTGCAGCTGGTGACGTGTTTGTGCTCCTGGGTCTGTGCCTGGAGCGGGGGTGAAAGGCCAGGCTGCTGGGCTGGGGCTGCTGGAGGCCACCGCTTGCCTTCCCCAGGACCCCTGCTTGGCCGGCTGCTGCGGCAGCCCACTCCTGTCCAGGTGGAGACTGCTTTCCTGGCATGCCGTTCCTGCAGGGACCGACAGGTGAGCACCCCAGCCTCCCCCTGCAGTATGTGGGCATCCTGGGCAGGGCAGAGCCCCATATGCCCCAGCTAGGCTCTGGGGCACCTCCTGTTTTGTGGCCACAAGTGCAGCCGGATGGGGGTGGCCATCTGGGGGCTTCCTGCCTGCCTTAGCCAGGAAAAGAGCATCTGTCAGCCTTTCCCAGCCCTGCGGGGCAGAGGGAGCCAGCCCACAGATCCAGCCAGCTTCCCACTCCCTACATCTCCAAAGTATGTTTCCGATCTCCTAGCCTGTTAAATTGCCCTGCAGGCAGCCCAGCCTGCACTGCTGGCTGCAGAGGAACAAAGTGGACCAGAACACATCCTTGCAGGGAAGGAGGAGGGCAGAGGGCAGCTGGGCTCCGGGCAGAAGCTCCAGCTGTCTGCAGAAAAGCCTTCCAGCAGAGCTATTCCCAGTGCCTGCCAGGGTGGCATGGAGCCCCAGGCATGTGGAGCTGCCCACCAGAAAAGGCAGAAAGGTGGCAGGGTTGAAGCAGGGAGAGGGGCTCTGGGAAGGGGAGCAGCAGCAGCACAGCAAGGCAGGGACACAGCCAGGTGACCCGGAGCAGAAGGGCTCCTGCACAGCAGCTGGAGGCATTATTTGCTTAATAGACATTGAAAAAGGCCAAAGTTTGGAGTCTGATTAAACTGGCACTCCCACAGCATTAAGGTTCAGGTTGCACAAAGCAGAGCCAGTAACTTGTTTCCCTGGCTCTGGGACTCAAGCCACTGCAGCTGCTGGGGCTCTTACTCTCCAGGTGATAATACATGAGGGTGCCTGTTGTCACCCACCCACTTCCCATCTCCTGTAGCCATGTACTTTAGCTCTTCTATCTCAGTAAACGCTGGAAAGCCAAAGTATTGCTGCATTCCCCCCTTCCCACACCCCAGGTTTTGCTACCACAACACTTAGTGGCTGCACAAGGGGGATAAACCTACACACTCACTTCCGAAGCAACCCCTCCCCCAGTGAGCATAAAGCTTATTTCCTACTTTACCAGAGCTAAGTTTTGGCTAAATTAGGCCAAAAAGCTCTGCAGACTGCTTGCTGCCCAGCTTTAGCACACATTGTAGGAGCAGGAGTGGAAAGCAGTAGCTTAGCACTCCCCTTTGAAAATTGAAGTTTGACATCTGCTCAAGGGAAAAGGGCTGGAGGAAAGCAGCTTTCCTGCAGGGGGGAAGCCCTTTCTCTCTGCTTCAAGGCTCTCTACTAGAGCCAGCATCTCACCCTGATCTCAGCTCCCCGTGGCGAAGATCAGGGAAGAGGAAAGAAGTGGTTTGGGGGTTATTTTTACTGCAAAGTCAGGAATCAGTCCTGAACTACCATCTGAAATGAAGCTCGCTGGAATGACCCCAGCCCCAGGAGCCTGCAGCCACCCCAGGAACTGCTGGGATCCCCTGCAAGGGAGGTGTGAGTCCACCTCTTGATTTTTTAGCCAAATGCTGGCTTAAAACCAGGAATCAGTCCCATTTCGATTGATCAGTGGCCAGAGTGGCTTCACCCATACCAGAGGCAGCTTTGCTTGATGAGCAGACACCCAAACATCCCATCCCTCCCAGGGCATCAGCTGGCAAAGATGCAGATCTCCAAAGAAACACAGATGGGGCTGGCCTGGCTGCAGGCTCCTGCAGGACAGATCCTGCCACCAGCCCCTTGCACCACGCTGCTCTGCCACATCCCAAGGATGGCACAAGCTGATCCAGCAACCCCCACCATGCACTCAGGATCTCTGCCACTGTTTGCAATGCCCCACTAGCAAGGGCATGTTGCTATGTGCAGCCTTCAGAGGTCTGACTCCTTTCCACCTCCGTCATTAAATTAACAATGCAAGTGTTTGTAACAAAGTGTTATTTATTAGAATATTACATTGCACTTAAAAAATAAGGGAGGTCTGACCCTGTCATCTTGATCTACATGAAGGATGCAGGGCCAGACCTACAATAAATATAAATACTATGTACAGTTTATCTAAAATAAATATATAATTTAAAATGAAAAATATCTTGTTAAATAGCTGTTACCCTCCCACCCCTCCTGCACCTAGAAAGCCCCAAGCCCGGTCTCCTCGCCTTTCACAGTTTGTTCCTTGGCATGCACCGCAGTGGACGGAGAGCTGCTGGAGAGTCCCTCTGCCGCTGGCTGGCCAGTCCCTCCTGCCTCCACACAGCCACCTGGTCAGCGAGGGCCTCTCCTGAGCCCCCTCCATCCTGGAGATGGCCACAAAGCTCCCTGCAGTGACACTGCTGCCCAACCAGCCCCGAAGCGGGTGCTGTTCTGCTGCTCCAGCAAGTTCCCACCATGCTGTGGGCTCCCAGGGACGGCGCTGGCTCCACGGCTTTCGCCTCTTCCAGGAGGTAGAAGTGCTTTAGTGCCGACCCCTGCAAGACAGCAGCAGGAGAGCTCACAATATGGCCCTGGGTCGTTCTGCCCATGGAGCGGTTCCTGCACAGCAGGGCCAAGGTGCCCATCCCACCCAGCCTGCCAGGAGAGCCCTCATGGCCACCGAAGGCCCAGCAGCAGGAGCCACTCGCCGCCTTGCAGGGCTGGACCCAGAAGGTTGGGAGCTAGGATGCTGGGGGAGCAGTGGCTAAGCATCCCACCCCATGTCCACCATGCTCCAGGGACCACAGCACTTTTCCCCCTGGACACATCCACCCCAATAATCCCCAGGGCAGAGGGGACAGTGATGAAAACCTTGTGCTGAATCCCCTTCCCCAAAATTCAACTCCTATAAACAGCTAAAAATCCCACCCCCAAAATTATTACCAACGTTACAGAAATTCTTTGAAGGCATTACTTCATCCTCACAAAGAACAAAACTTTTCTTTTTTTAAAAAAAAGAAGTAGCTGTAATATGTATGGGCACATCCAACGTCAGGGTTTGGACCAGACCAGAGGAAGTCTGCAAGCTTTCCAGCACCCGGCCACAGACACGTGGCCACCCCTGGGGCAGAGCACACCCCACCACCCAGCCAGAGTTACATCGCATGGGGCCGGCAGCAAGATCCCTGCATGCCCAACTGCAAGGCTTTACACTGATGCAAGTAATAAGCAGAGTGGGAGTGAAAAGGAAGGGGTTTTTTTTGATATGTATATAAATAGAGGCAATATCTAAGGAGGGGAAGTGACTCAGAGGGTCAGAGAGGGAGCAGAACAAGGGGGGGGAGACGACACAGAAGCAGCTTCCCCACTGCGACAGGGCAAAGCAGGGACTTAAGGTTAGAAAGGAGGAGGTGGTGGTGGTTGGGGTTGTCAATGGACAGGGTCTTGAGCAGGAAGGGGCACAAAGAGGGCTTGGAGCCCCATGGGGCAGCCCAGGCTCTTGGGCCAAATCCAGTGAGCTGCTTCTCCAGGCTCAAACTGTCTTCAACTCCTGCCTGGCTCTGGCACAGGGTCCACGTAATGGTCCCAGCCAGCGTGAACAAGCAGAGCCCCCAGACGCCCACCAGGCCCACTGCTGCCCCATGCCCGCCCAGGGGCTCACCTCGCCAGCACCCGGCATCCTCAGTGATTCACAGTGATGCCCAGCTTGATTTTCTCTTCGTTTTCTACATCGTAGACACCCCTCTTGTGACACCTGTGAAGCCAAGCAGAGATGCTCAGAGCATGGAGAAGCCCTTGCCACCCTCCCCTGTGGTCTTTCTGGGTATGCGGATCCGATGGCTCAGCCCCATCCCACTCACCTGAGCATCAGCAGGGCTGCAATGATGACAAGACACAGGGAGGACAGGACGACAGCAACGACGGCCAGTGCCGTGGTGTGGTCGTATGTGCTGGGGGGGTGCTCCACAGGCAGCGAGAGGCCGTGGCATCTCTCTCCATGATATCCTGGCTGGCATCTGGACGAGAAGAAAAAAAGTCTTAAATGTTGGTGGTGACCAAGTGCGGAAGGTCATTGGGTCCCTCACAACCACATGGAAAGGAGCTGCCTCTTTGCTCAGCCTTAGCCAGCACCCTGCCCACTCCCCTTGGTCCCCCTCCCCTGACCTGGAGGGTCTGGTGTCACCATCACTTCCCTGATACTGGTAAATTAAGTTTCTTCTGCCCTAAGCACCAAGTGAAGACTCCTAGAAAGGTTGAGCTTCCCCCAGTAGAAGGCACCAGGGTCTGTGCTTTTCCCAATTGTCCCCAGGCAGAGCCAGGCTGCCCAGGCCACCTCTGGAAGTGGGAAGACCCATGCAAGGGAGCAGAGAGGCAGCTGGACCGGAGCTCAGCACTTCCCTCGGAGCAGGATGTCCCTGCACACCCTGCCAGCCAGAGAGGTGCCAGTTCCCTGCAGACTCAGGAGGTTACTCACATAACAGAAATAACGCTCTCCAGCAGAGCTGCAAGGCTGCCAACCCTCCCCGTGAGTCAAAGCGCACTGATGCAACCAGATATTTATATCTCTCCATATCTAGTGCCACTGACCCTCAAGCTTATCTCCAAGACGGGGTCTCAGCCCAGCCCTCCTGCCCAGCTCACAACACCACCACGTGCCAGCGTGACCTCACAGCCACGGCAGCAAAGCTGGGCACAAGGCAGAGGTGCAGGACCCAGCCTGGCAGCATCCTCACCCCACCCACACCCCGGGGACCAGCCCAAGGAAGCCACAATCCAGGAGACCCTGCGACACGGGTAGCCAGCCACCAAGAGCAGCCACAACCGAGTGACACCAGCCAACACGAGGCCTCATTATCAGAGGGGACAGGGACAGTTGGTCGCTGTTCCTAAAAGCCATGATGGCTCCAGAGAGATGTCACCCAGGGATATGCCAGCAGGCTGGAGAGCCCAAGCCGGCCCCTGGACCCCTCCTGCTTGCCCATGTCCCAGGTCCTCTCCCAGACCCAGGGATCTGGGAAGGGCAGGAGGCTGGGCAGGGGCCACCTGGCTGTCCCAGTCCCAGGCAGGGGCTGCTGCACCACACATCACGCTGGGTCACCAGCCCAAGCTGAGCCAGCAGAGATCTCCTCTTGCTGGCAGTCCCGAGCCCCCTGTGCAGGGCCCAACTTCATGACAGCTTCCAGGCAGAGAGAAACTAAGCGGTTCAAGGAGCTATGTGGAGCCTGATCCCTGCAGATTGCAGGGCGCGAGATCTTGTGGGCACCATAAGCCGGGGAGCTATTATCTTCCCCAGGCTCCAGGCGCAGGGCTGGGTGGCTCAGAGGATTGATAGCAAAAAACAAAGCCTCTTATATATCTGCCAGCTCAACTCCTGCCCACGTCAGCGGGGATCAAATATGCACCCCTGGGTATTTACCACAGTAGCAGTGCTGGATCCAGGTGCCCCAGTAGCAGGAAAACGCTTTCTCCTCCACTTGCCTCATCTAGTCTCTGCTCTCTACCTGCATCCCAGAGGAGTGGGAGAGCAGGGGTACATAGCCCTGTCTTTCATCTGGGCCAAAGGACAGCTTGGGCATGGCTTTGGCAGGCTGTCCCCAAAGGCACTACCTCTAATCTGCCTTGCTGGTGCCACAGCAGAGATGCTCCTCCTGCCTGCACCAATACATCCCGACAGCTGCGGGAACCCCAAGCTCTCAGCCAAGGCTGGCAGCAGTGAGGGACAGGGGGACGCAAGGTTACAGAGTCAGGATGGGGTCTCGCAAACCAGCCCTGCAGAAGATCTTGGCTGCAAGACCCGAGCTCCTGCTCACCGTCTTCCGAACCCCAGTGCTGCAGGTCTCCGCACAGCAGATCAGCCAGAGCTCACCGCGCTGGCAGGGGATGCTGGGTCTAAATCCATGGTGGATTTTGGTGGGGGATGGACATTGCTCAAACAGCACAAGGAAGAGGTCAAGTCAGAGTTGTCCCCACACAGACAGGGAACATGCACTAAAAATATCTCCTCCGCTCTTCCTCTGCCCGGCCTGGAGAATTGAAGGAACCGTGACTAAGGCTCCCCCGGGCACAGGCACACGCCAGCAACTCACATGCAGGAGGGAGCTCCCAGCTCTCGGATGTATTTGCATTCGCCGTGAATACAGAAATCCTTGTACTTCCGCAGGCACGGGTCTCTCTTCTTCCCCAGGCCTTTGCCTTTTCTTCTTTTATTCCCGTTCCCTTTTTTCTTGGGAGTAACCAGGCCTTGAGGCTTTGACAGGAAAGCAACTGGAAAACAATTTGGGAAGGAGAAAACAGCAGTCAGATCACCTCCATGCATCAGCCAAAGAGAAGGCAGAGCTGCAAACCCCAGGCTGCTGCAGCCAGCTCAGCCCTGGCACTCCGCAGCCTTTTGTGCAGCAATCTGCCCCCGAGCAGAGGGGTTTTTTTCCTTTTTTTTTTTTTTTTTTTTCCCCAGCTTCTCACAAATATCACATCCTTTCCAATTCATAAGAACAATTCTCAAGGAAAGAGAAGGATCAGGGTGTGTGTGGGGGGAAACAGAGCTTTACGCATCTCAAATGTTGCTATTATATGTACCAGTTTCCACTGAACACAGAAAATTGCTAATTGCCCCTTTATCAGGCTTCTATTCCCTAATGAGCATGGTCTTTTGTAAGACCCTATTCATGGCTCTGAGGGACTCTCCTTCCTGTGGGTACAATGATGCCTTGCACACCCGGAGCAGGATTAAGAGAACAAGCCTGGCTTAATTTTTGGTTTTGCAGAGCCAAAGAGATGGCAAGGGCAGCGTTCCCATGAATTACAAAGGTATGTTTTAATTGTGGTGCAGGGACCAGTGGCTTTTGGTGCAAGGCCAGCTCCTTGCTGGGTTAGTGGGAACCAGAGCAGTGAGCTCCTTGCCTGGACAGGGACCGAAACCAGCAACATTACTGGAATAGTTTTAATAGTTTTAATGTGCAGATGCCAAAAAAAAAATCAGCCTCCAGCTTGATCTCGCAAGGTGCTGAGATGCTGGAGAATGCTCACTGCTCCAAGAGGGACTTTTCAGCTCCCCTCAAAACCACGGTGCTTAATAATTCCAGCAAGCCTGGGGAAATATGAACTAAGCCCTACGCTGGTCGGGGATGAGAGGGCGGCTGAGTCCAACCTGGCGAGTTGTAACCTGCCCAATTCCTTCTCAGCCACTTCCTGATGTACCCGGCGCCTCTCGTGCTGCGGCACACCGGCTGCACACCTAGCAGAGTTATGTCGCTATTTCAACATCCTTCACAATACGCCTGGAGAAAACTGATACTCCAGGAAACTCTGCGGCTTGGAGAAACCCCCAGATCCGGGTGAGGTCTGGGGCTCTGCCCTGGGCTGGCAGCGGGGGCTGTCCCATCCCCTGCGGGTTATCTCCCGGCTGCAGCCAGCAGACACACAGTGCTGCTGACCCCCCCAAGCCATCTCCACTGTTACCACCCCTCCTCCCCAGGGCTCTGTCCCTTAGAACAGCCAGAGAAGATTTGGAAGATCTTGCTGGTAGGAAAACTGGTCCAGCCCTGGTGGGCTGGGGGATGCTGCCGCTCACCCCCAGCTCAGGCACCCTGGGTGCTGCGGCGCAGAGGAAGGTGCCTTCAACACAGAAGACAGATTTTTCTGACCGTCGCTCAGCTCGAGGCATCGAGAAAGTGCTCCGAGAGGCTGCAGCCTCAGTAACCAAATATCCCCCATCCTCTCAGCCTGTCCTGCAGACAAGGGTCAGCCCACGCCTGCCAGATCACTTGCTCTAGGACCGAGTCCCCTCCTCAGGGGGATGTCCACAGAGGAGCAGGCTGGAGCATCTCCCTCCCAGCAGGAAGGGTAACAGTGTTTCACGGGGGCCACGACCCCTTGGATGCAAGGGGGTCAGGCTGGTTTTGCAGGTTTTTTGTCACAGTCTGATAGCACAGCCGGAAAGCGAGGAAAAACAAGGGGGAAAAAAAAGGGGGTATGGACCATACGGGGCAGAGCACGCTGCTCCTGATCTCAGCATGTCACACGTGCAAGGCACAGGTACAGGTCACCCTTCCTCAGCCTGCCTGGGGCCTCCCCGTCCCACCCCCACGAGAGTCCCCGGGACACTCTCGGGTCCCGAGCCGGGGGAGAGGAGCCAAGCACGAGTGCCCAGCGAGCCTAACAGAGCGGCAGTGTCCCCAACGCCCCCGTAGCGGGGACCGCCGGCTGACTAACCCTGCCTAGGTATGAGGAGCAGCCGTGTGTAGGCGGCGGGTGAGTCACGGCCATCCCCTCGCCGGCGGCCACCGCCTGGAAGGCGGCACGGGCCCACCGGCCGGGGCCGCGCACCTGCGGGCAGGGGCTGCCGCGGCCCCCAGAGGGCTCTGCCCTCCAGCTGCCCAAGGAGTCGGGGGCCCGGGAGCCCTGCGGACCCCCGAGCCAGGGACTTCAGGGACACGGCCAGCCGCTGGCGCAAGGCGACGGGCTGCCAGAGCCCGGCTGCTCCGCGCTGCTGCCCCGCGGGC